GCCCCGCGGGGGGCGCGCGCGCTCCCTCCGGGCGTAGCGTGGCCACGGGCGCGGGGAAGAAGCCGAGCCCGGCTCCGGGCCGCTGTGTCAGAACACGCGCGCCGTTCTGGGTCTCCACGGAAGCGGACGTTGGCCCGGTGCAGCAAGATGCGGGTCGAAGCCCTCGGGGGCTGGAGGCTCCCTTGACAAGCAAGCCTCTGGCGGGCTTTTCCGTGGCCTGGGAGAAGGTCGGGGCGTCGCTGCTGAGTGACCTGCTACCTTTTTGCGGATGCTTTTGAAAAACTGAAGGAGGGCACGAGAGCATCACGGTTCTTTTTGAGGCTCGTCGACCGGCAGGGTGGAGAGCCTGGGCGACAGAGTGAGACAACAAACGCAAAACACCCCAAAAATCCAAGGTAGTAGAGTAGAGTTCTCGGGGTTCACTCCAAAGGCAATAAAACAGACTTGCTTTAAAGAACTTTGTTTTGAGGACAAAACTCTCAATTTTTTTTTTTTTTTTTTGAGTCGGAGTCCCACTCTATCGCCCAGACTGGAGTTGCGCTATCACACCCGGCTAATTTTCCTTCATTTATTGTAGAGATGAGGTCCTGCCAAGTGGCCCAGGCCGGTCTTGACCTCGCTGGCTCGGGCAGTCCTCTCTCCTCTGCCTCCCAAAGTGCTGGGATAAAAGGTGTGAGCCCTCACACCCGGCCTCAAATCTTATCCGTTAAAAGGTACCTGGATAAGGTGGTCATGATTGTAGGGAAGGCACAGAGCACTCACACCAGCTGTGTCTTTAACAGGCACGTCATGTTACCCAGAGAGCTTTCCAAACAAGTACCCAAAACTCATCTGATGTCTGAAGAAGAGTGGAGGAGACTGGGTGTCCAGCAGAGTCTGGGCTGGGTTCACTACATGATTCATGAGCCAGGTGAGTCTCGCTGCAGTCAGGCATTGACTGAGTTAGAACAGAGCTTGACAAGTTCACAGACAGCCCGAGGTGACTCTGAGTTTTTAGGATGATTTCCAAATCTATCAGTTAATTTCTTAACATTTTGCTGTGAGTATATCCAGAATTCCCCTTTCTCTTAAAACTAAGACTTAAGGCAATTTAAATCCTTAGTCCTTAAGTTGTATGTATAGAAATTGATTGGATTTGCCTTCCTTTAGCCCCTCGAGGGATGTTGTCTGTAGCTTGTGAACTCGTGTGCTGCCTGAATTATACGTGAATGAACGCCTTATGCGGTGTATGATGCTTTGGAATTAGCCAAAGATTTTCCAAGTACTAGATAGCAAACTAGACTAAAACTCTGAGGCTAAATGCTATTTTTTGGATAATTAGCAAAGCTAGCTTAAAGGATCCAAAATGCTTTGAACAAAATTTGAAGACAAAGAAGCCGAAGTAGGTAGAACTAAATTTATTTTGCTTTCTGCTCTTCTGGAAAAGAAAAACAGCATCAAGAGCTCTAAAAGACCCAACTTTCTTGGGATCAGAGCACACAATCATGTTAGGATTTAGAGAGTTCCTCCAGATAATTGAAAAGCAATCGAGGAACTTAAATGTCAATTTCTGGGTCCCACCTACCGGAAGTCCATAGGGATGGGGTCCTGGAACTTGGGGGTTTTACAAGCTCCTGGCAGTTTTCCATGTACACTAGTGTAAGCTCCTGGAGTTGACTAGAGTGAGCTGCTTTTCCCCTTATGCTCTTATTGTCAAGTTTTCTTATGTTTACTGTTAACAAAGATTTGAAACAAAATTCAGTTTAGATACATACCTCAAGCTGGTTAATAGTGGACTCCATTGAAGCTTTTTATTTTGGTTTAGTTGAGAATTCTTTGAATTTTTGTTGAATATATGAAAATTGACCATATTAAAATGGTAACACATCTTCTTTCCACAGAACCGCATATTCTTCTCTTTAGACGACCTCTTCCAAAAGAGCAACAAAAATGAAGGCTATCTGGGGATCGTCAGTTCTTGTTCAAATTTAATGTATATGTGTATATACGGTAGTATTCAGTGAATACTTGAAAAATGTACAAATCGTTCATCCATACCTGTGCATGAGCTGTATTCTTCACAGCAACAGAGCTCAGTTAAATGCAACTGCAAGTAGGTTACCACAAGGTGTTTAAGACAATTTTCTTCTAGTCAGTTTTTCTCTTAATAGAAGTGCCTGTTTGACTTTACCTGTTACTTTTGTTAAATAAAGTTTGTATGTTGCATTTATCATCGTTTGTAGTTATTGAGGCATATTTTCTTACAGCTAATTTCTAACTAATGAGATTGTTTGATTTCAGTGTTTTAATTTTAGCCCTGAGGAAATAAACTTAGAAAATGTTAAATGAATTTGAAATAGTTTGGAATGATGGGGATTCCATTTGATTCACTTAAGAAGAAACTAAGAATAAAAGGTTATATTTAAACTAAAGCTGAAGTGGGTTTTACTACTTTATCTGAAGTCTAATTCCTAGAGAATTGTCTAGAATATCCAACTGAACAGAAAAACCCAACTTAAAACTATTTGGGATACTTATGCTTATTTAAGAACTGCTACTGACTACTAGTGGTCTCGGGGAAACCTTGTAAAAGTCCCGTTTATCCTTTTCTACATTTTCTAAGTGGAGGTAGTGTTTGCTTAAAATACTATAGCATTTTAAGAAGTTCAAAAGCACTGTAAAACACCTACATGCCCTATGTATTTTGTGTTTTAGATTGGCTTTGTGGCTGTCAGGAAAAATGTTTTAGAATAAAGGCCGACATAGACTACTTAATTGCTATGCTAGAGAAACATCTTAAAGGAGCAGCCAGTAAGCCTAAGACCCCCCCCCATCTAGAAGGGGTGTCTTGACACATGATGAACGCAAAAAATACCAAAGGTGGTGATCAGCAGCAGCGTAGAACTCACCCCACCCACCCCCCATCCCACCACCACAGGACACCAGCTAGAGTGGTCCTGAGTAACAATCCAAATTAAACTTCACACTTAAGGATAGGCTCAATAGTGCTGAGGGGGTGTGGCAGCCATCCCTCAATGCCCAGCATAGATTACAGCCAGACCCCACCTAGGTACTGATGAGTCCAGCTATGTTTAGTAAACTCCGGTACCTGGCCAGAAATTTGGGAGAGAATGCCTGGCATTCAATGGTTAAGTCTGCAAAGGGACACAGGAAGCCTACAGTTTGCCTCAAATCTAGTTAAGCTGTCTAGTCAGATGGCCTGCATTGCTGACAAACTTGCTGTTCCTTTCAGTTCCATTCACACCTTCCAAGCCTCTGACCTAGAGGGAAGTTCTTCCTCCTGAAGTCCCCATTTCAATCTTCCCTGTACTTCTCTGCTGGGCCTCCTGTCCTTGCTCACCTTCCAGCTTTCTCATAGTACTTAACGAATGTTGCCCAGTAGAGGTTTTTGGCTTTCCATGAAGATGCTACTTTTCCATCGCTTGACTGTGTCCGAACATTTTAATGTTTGAGATGAACCGAACGGTTTTGAAGTTAAATTTTCCTTTCGTGGTTACTTAAAAAACTTTTTAGTACTTCTGGAGATTTAGTGATGCCAGGTGGGGTGTGGTGCAAAACTCGTGGATTTAGAGGTTTTAAAGTTTATTAGAGAAAGAAAATGGGAAAGGCAGGCATGCACGATAGAACCGCACTTTTTGCATCTTACAAAATGCCACCCATCTGGTGGTTAATCTTAATGGGGGGGTATCTGCTCCCATCTCTCCACCTCTGGGGAGAGAAATAGTCTCTTCCAGAGAGACTCGCCAGACTTTTCAGTACACAAGTTTTTCGAGTTACAAGAGGTCTCGTCATTTCTACGGCTCTTCGACTCCGGATCCAGGACCCGCCTTGTCGGAGCTTCGCTTTGTTGAGCTTGAGGGGTGGGGTGGACTGGGAGTCCACATCGAGTTCATCTTCCCGCCCACCCGTGCAGCCTGCAGACAGGAAAGGCATCTATCTAGGCCTAACCTGTACTAGCTGCCCTGCCTCATCTCCCCCTTCAGAGGTTTTTCGATCTATGATCACAGGGGGTACAAGGGGGAAAGATCCATCTGCAACTGACTCAAAGCTGGCAATGGGCGGCGGCCTGGCAGCGCCGGAGGTCGTTAGGACACCAGCCATGGTCCCTAGGCTTTCCTGGTCCGCAGGTCGTACGGGGCGCGCCACTGCCCCTCGGCCCGAGGCCGTCGGGGGGGACGCGGTCCCGGGGGGCAAGCAGTCGGGCGTCTCACCGCAGTCCCTCGGGGGAAGCCCCCGCGTTCAGGGCACGAGCTAGGCCTGTCCGCCTCTCCCGGGCCCTCCACACCTCTACGCCCAGACTCCTGCGGCCCAGGGCAGGAGAGACTCTCGGCCTCACCCCGGGCTTCTAGCCGCTGCTGTCTTCGTTCCCCCGCACCGCGACGCCACAGCCCCGGCCCAGGGAGCGCCCGGGGAACCCCCACGACCCCCTCAGCGCGCCCCACGCGCAGCCCGAGCCGGAAGCAGGGGCGGGCCTGTCGCGTTTCTGTGACGCACTTCCTGGCGTCGCCTCCGAAGGCGGAAAC